GGGCCCCGCGGGGGAGCCGCGCGGCAGCCAGGCCAGCTTCATGCAGCGCCAGTTCGGCGCGCTCCTGCAGCCGGGCGTCAACAAGTTCTCGCTGCGGATGTTCGGCAGCCAGAAGGCTGTGGAGCGCGAGCAGGAGCGCGTCAAGTCGGCGGGGGCCTGGATCATCCACCCGTACAGCGACTTCAGGTACAGCCACCGGGAGGGGCCGGCCGGCGCGGAGGGGGCACCGCGAGCGGACGCGCGCGGGGGCCGTCCTTGGCGCACCTCGGGGAGGGCGGGGCTGCGCGCCCCGAGGGTGACCTCGAGGCCCCTCGGTGACCTCGGGCGCGTCCGGGACCCGCCCGGTAATGGCCTGGGCGCGCGAGGCTCCGCCCTTGGAAGGGCACTGGGAAGCGCGCGCAGGCTCCTGCCGTGACCCCCGCGCGCCCCCTCCCACGCACCCTGACATCTCCCTCCCTGCGGGATGCGCGCGCGTCACGGCCGCAGGACCAGGGTCTGAGCGCGGAGGGGCGGAGAGGACGAATAGAGGGGAACGTGGGCGCCGGGGAGGCGGCAGAGCGGAAGGAAGGAGGAAGGAAGGGCGCCCGGGAAGGACGTGTCCAGGAGAAGCTGGTGGAGAAGGGGTTAAGGGAACAAGGCCCTCTCCTACCGTCTCCACCTGCGCCCCACACCTCAGGGAGGCGCGTTCAGAGTCCGCGGGCCTAGGTACTGCGCGAGGACAGGGCGCTGAGGGTGCTGGGGTCCCCAAGCTGCCTTCTCTGAGCCGCAGCGGCCGGAGCCACTGGGTGGCGTGCCCTGTGTCAGTGGGTGTGTAGACGTTGATATGGATTAAGGCGGTTAATGCGTGGAAAGGCTCAGAGCAAGGCCCAGCGCAGGGTCACGGCCGAGTGTGTTTGTGGTTCTTGTTCCTGGGCGCGTGCCCTGTGGCCTGCAATTGTGAACCGTGCGTATCACGGCAGGCTCTGGATGTGTGATCAGGAGCATGTGACTGCAGGGGGCGTGGGCCTTTGGGCCATGGGCCGAGTGATCTGGGGGGCAGGCGGGTCGCAAGGGGTGTGTCTGTGTGGTAGGTGTGCTGGGGAGAGATGGGGTGCGTGTGCATGGGGTAGATGTACATCGGTGGGCAGTCGGTACGAGCTGGGCAGTGTGCACAGTGTGTGTGTGTGTCTGTGAAGTTATGTGTCCGCGAAGGAGGTGGTCAGTTGGGCTACAGAGGGTCTACACAGGGCCCGCCCAGCCTAGCTCTCAGGGTGAGCGCGGTTTCAGCACCACGGACAGCGCCCAAGGCTCTCCGGGCGCCTGCTTTGGAGCCCCCCACCCCGCGGAGCACTTGCTCAGGGATCTCCAGAGCTCGGAAAGGGGGGCTGTGGGATTCTCCCTTGTCCTGGCCCTTCTGCAGCTCCAGTGCTTGATGGCTCTGGAAACTGAGGCCCCAGGGGCACACAAGTCAGGGACAGCCTGGGATTCCAACTCCTTACCCTTCAGACCTTTCCTGGGAGGTGAAGACAGCCTTAACCAGTGGCTTGAGTTTTCTGGGAGAGGCCAGGGGAGAGGGGACCTGGGGGTTTCCAAATGGGGTGCATCTGGATGATCCTGACCTGCACAGGGGCGCACTGTTCCCTTGTAGGTGGTCCGGGCTGGGAGAGCTTGGGTCACTGTCTCAACTCATGTCCATGTGACCTGGCCAGCTGGCTGGGAAATGACCTCAGGGACACAATGGGCAGGGGAAGGTGGCTGCAGAACGTAGCCGTTGCCCTGGGTCTTCTCCAGCTCATCTGCCTCCAGCAGTGGGTGGCCCTGGGGCACTTTTCAGTCTGGGGTGAGGGTGTGCCAGGGAGGAGCTGGGCTTCCTGGTTCCTGTGCCATTCTGAGCATAGTCACCTGTGAGAATCTGGGCAGGCCACATGGTCTGAGCTGAGCAGATAAATTGTAAGATAGGGTTGAGCAAGCAGAGGGGTGGTAAGTGTGTCCTGTAGTTGGAACTAGGGGAGACCCTGTCAAATTGAGAGCTTAAGGTATTTCCAAGCTGGGATGCAGTGGAGCCTCCACAGCCCCCCGTGTGCCCCTTCTAGGCCCTTCTGATTCAGTACCCCAAGCTCCCTGAGGTCCTCCTGGGCCAGGTGCTGTGGGAGCACCTTACTGGTATTGATTCAGTCCTCGTGTCCGCTGTGAGGTGGGTGCTGCAGGAGGAAGAAGGCATTCTGGGGATTGTTGGAGATATTGGGGCAGCCGGGGGTGGGCTGTGGATCCTCACTCTGTTTCTATGTGTGTGTGAGTTTTTAGAAACTACTCACGGAGCAGTGGGGAGGGGCCTTTCTGGGCCTACTTCTCCACCCTTGCCCCTTTTAAATCTGACCCGACTGGGCAGATGCCACGCCCTCTGGTGCCCATAGCCACACACTGTACAGGACTGGAAAGAGAAAGAGGCACCCAGGGCGCCTGGGTGGCTTGGTCGTTAAGCGTCTGCCTTCAGCTCAGGGCATGATCCCAGGGTCCTGGGATCGAGCCCCGCATCAGGCTCCCTGCTCAGCGGGAAGCCTCCCTCTCCCTCTGCCCGTCTGTCTGCCTGCTTGTGATCTCTCTCTCTCTGACAAATAAATAAATAAAATCTTTAAAAATAAAAGAAAAAGAGGGGCGCCTGGATGGCTCAGTCGTTAAGCGTCTGCCTTCGGC